ATTATCTGAGCGGACGGGAGGTGCTAACGCCATTCCGTCTGATATCGCTCGTCTGCTGATAGTCGCGTTTGGAAAATCGCCCAAATAGAACTCCCCAAAAGCCCTAAAAATAGTCAGACGAAACCTCTTCATTATTCCCATGTTAATCGGCGAACAAACAGAAAGGTGCCACTTATCAACACCTGTCCGGCGGACTATCAAAACAGAGTCGAGAGTTTGGGCAACCAAGTGTTTACTGTGGCTAATGTATTTGGGTTTTCAGTCGCTTAGCGCCTCCAACTCAATTGCGTTTTGCAATACCTTAGATGAAGTAATTAGCAGGTGCCGACTAAGGTGACAGAATTTCTTTCAGCATGCATACAACAATGTAAGAAAATTTCTCTAGTCATCCAATAATAAGGAGAAGAAAATTTAAATAAGACTTTTCCTTTTTTCTTAAATTTTTTTTATTTTGTTGTGTATTCTGAAATTTTACTCATTTATATTTCCGTGCACCTCATTTCTATGACTTTATTTCTCCACCTTAATTTAATTGAAATCTTGATGTTATCCAAGCAAGAACACCTAGGTAATATAATCAACTTTTGTTAAAATGAACAAAAAACAGTTAAATGACAGGTTCCAAATTGTATTATTGTATCTGTCAGATGATAAAATATCTTTGCATAAATTGAATTTGCTTTTTTGGATGGCTACCTGATAAGCAATTAAAGAAACATTAAGTTCAATAAAAAAATGTGGCGTGATTGAAATTTATTTTTAGTTCATTCAATATACAAGTATACACTTCAGGATTTTTTGGTTCTTCGACGACTAAAGTATATTTGTTCTCTGTGCTGATATAAGGATGATGCTGCTAAAAGTATTGGCTTATAAGGGGAATTTATAGTAAATATATCATATAGACACACTCCATTCGAATTGATAAACAAATAGGTATAAAATATATCTTCCATATTTATTTTGTAGTCATGTTTCGGTAAGAGTTCAATTTTTTAATATTTATTTTTATAAAAAAATTTCCACTCACGCAACCCGAAACAAAAAAATGCAATGAAAGCATAAAAACAACAACTGCAGTTCCGCCTTTCTTCGCGACCAGCGATAACGGTATTAACCAATGAACATTATTTCCTCGACCCGCCATTTCCCCCTAAAATGTTCATTAATAGTTCCGGTTTATGCGACATTAAAATAAAAATGAGAGAGGGAAAAAAATCAACCAGAAAAATATGCTCAAACATTGCATTCAATGCTAAATGCGTGCATTGCACTGCCCAGATACAAATGTATCTGTAGATGGGCATGCATCTGTATCTGTGCAGCGCCTTTTGTAGATACAACTAGAAACGCGTAGACTAGTTTGAAATTTACATGGCCGTCGAATGAGTCAGTGGTCTACAAAATTTCTCAAACAAATCTGTTTTAGTTTTCTGTATCTAGAGAAATTTTCGCATAACCAACAAATGCGCACTTTGAATTTTGGCACAAATTCTGATTCAATTAACCTTCCATTTTCTGAAAGGTCAGTCTGCAGTCTTGAATAATATCTAATTGTTTTTCCTTTATTATTTTTATATTCTATTTCTTTGGGAGTAGTTTGTTTAGGTGGTCATTGAACTCGTTGTGGAACTTCTTAGGAAAAGTATTTGCAAAACAGATTGTTTATTATTATTTTTTCTATTGGTGTGCTTCTCATGCAAAGGGATATCCAATGAATGTTTTGTTTTGTTTATTATAAACTTTTTTAAAGTTTCTCTCTTGTAAACTGGGCAGTGAAATATTTGTTAACATGCTATAATTAACGAGTCGTGTAGGTCCCAACTGGGTCACCTTTTGGCTTATCAATTTCTGTACATATTAAAAATAATAATGAAATGTGTAGGAATGCAAGGTTAGCTGGACAATAGCGATTGTTCAAATACCTTTACAAAAGAATGTATATCGAAATAAGTTAGTATATCTGGGTTAAGCCACCTGTTTAATAATAATTATCATTACATATTCCTTATTTTATACTTTCTCTTTTAGTATTTATAAATACATAGTCAATAAAACAAACAAAGAAATATTCTTAATTATATTGTTGTATCTCGTTTCAAAGCATTACTTTGAAAGAAGACATGCTTTTCAATAGAGTATACAGCAAAGATTGTCAGTAATATACCTTACTTATATTTGTATAATTATATAGACTCATGTTTAAATATAAATTACAACAGACTTACTGCGAGCACGATTGTAAAATAAAAGCAAAAAACTCACATCAAAATAATCAACAGGAAAATGCATCTGAAAATTTTCCACCCCAACCTGCGTTTCGTATGCGCAAAATAAAGATCAGAGAAGTTCAATGGGTTTATCGGCTGCCCTCTTACAATTTTTTGCTGAGTAATGTAATAGTAAAAACGTTATAGTATTCGGAATCAGTCCACATGCCTTTTTGGGGGATCCTTTTTTAAAACTATATAAGGCATGTGTTTCAACATGTGCCCTGAACCAGATTAAAAATGGTCAGATATAATTTATTTGCTTAACTGCTTAGGACATACAAATTTTTATTTGCCCGTCTGGAAAGTTATTAGTAAAACTGCAAAAGGTGAAAAAAGTGAAGCAAATATTTCCTACGATAATGGTTGCAAACCTTATCTGATCAGTTAACGCCCACTAATCAAGCGGATTGTAAATTAATTAAAAACGAAACAAAAATAAACTTTCCACTAAGTTGATTTTCCTTAACGTTAGCTGTTTGCTGAAAATATTTCAAAACGCCTACACAGGTTTTTGGAAAATAAACCTGACTACACTGTAATAAATAGAAAAGGTTTTATAAACTATTTAGCATTGTTTTCTTTTTTTAATTTTCTTAAACCTTAATACTTTAACTTAAATTTGTTGAAATTTTAAAAATGAATTAATTTATATAGTTTTGTGTCATAACTTTATATCCTCATTAGTTCGGTGGGTTTGGCTTACCATAACCATATTCGTATAACTCTTTGGACCAGGATTTGTATGACTCTCCAAATTTTCTCTCCTGTTTTATTTTTTCGACACCCATTAGCTTGTCTAATCGCGCGTTGATTAGAAAAAATTTGTTTTTTTGGCGCTGTGGGGGGAGATTAAATTGTTGTTGCCAGCCGGTCGTGCGACCAACCAAAATAGCAAACAAAAATCCTTGCCCCTCACTCCCCTTTCTGCTCTTCAATGTGAAGTTCAATGACTAAATTCAAAAGTTTTTGTTCTTGTTACTTTTTGTTGGCTTACCTCGAGAATCTCTGGACAAGGTTTAATCAGCCCGACAGTCTGTTATCAGCTCTATATACTGTGATGGCCTAGTTTCTCCATCGTTTTTGTGGAAGATGGTGCAAATGGGAGGTGCAGAGGTGCGAGCTCAGGGAGAAGGTCAATTAATAAATTTAATGAACATGAATAATGCAAACAAAGTGAGCCACATTAGTGGGGAAAGTCCGGCTTGGGTTCAGTCGCACTTTAAAACTTCAGCTAAAAACATTTTAAGTTAATTATAGACAAAAAATATTATGAGGCTATTTTGTTCAATTTTAAAGCCCATAAAGTCCTTGTGTTTATATATTTTTAATTGTCAAGAATTTATTTTTATTTCTTTTTATTTCGTTAAATTGCTTTCGCTGATACACGCTGACAATCATTGTTGGTGGTCTAAATCTGGCGAATTTTAAATATTCATTTTATGGTACAATTCCGAATAAAAAATCCAATCTCCTTTGAGATAAGAGCCTTGCTTTATTTACCTAATTAGGCTAACTGCGACTTAACTTGATCACGGCTTGTGAAATACCTGTAGCACCTGTTTGGGGATGCAACCCCACGGATCGAATCACTGATCAGTTCTAGTTCCGCTTGGGGGGTCAGAAGATCACCGATCGAGGGCTTTAAATAGATTAACAAGGCCTTACCGAATCCTAAGGTATTTTTAGAGGGAACTTTGCCTTCCGGATTTGTTTTTTAAACGGCCACTGATCACGCCCACCTAATCAGGGCTGATAAGCGCATTGGCCAGCAAAATCCCCCAAGTTCGTGGAGCCCGGGTTTCCAGGTCGAAATCGGGATGCAAGTCTGGCAAGTTGGCGCCGCTGTCAAACGGGCTGGAAAAAGTCGCTCACGTTGCTCGGATTCCCGGGCGTATATAGTATGGCCACTATCTGTTAATTTAATGATTTCGAATTTAGATTTGTGGGCAGGCTGGGGGCGATTAGTTAACATTTGTTTTCAGCGTGTCCAGCCACGGCCCAAAGCCCAGAGCCCGAGACGGATGAGATAATTAGTGCCGCCTGCACAAACACACACCCTCCTTTTGCTCCTAGTTTGTATTTATAGACAAGGTTTATGAGTTTGTTGTGCCCACCTCCAATCTGGGATTATAATATTATACTATACTATACTAAGCCAGACTCTGCCTACTCGGAGGCCTACAGTGCTAATCCAAAAACTGCCGAGATCGGCATTGATTCTGTAGCTGCGATTCTAGGTGGAGGTGGGCCCCAAATGGGTTCAAAGGGGTGTGTGTTTTGGTGGGCGTTTAGGTCCCGATCCCCAGATAAGCGAAAAACATTTGTTTGATAATGGGCCATGACAAACAAAATGTTAGCACAAACAAATTTGGAGCTTCAGTTGTTATCGCATTCCTTTTAAACTAATGGCGATAATAATATTATTTAATCAAAATAATTTATCGTAGGATATGTTTGATTCAATTTTTCGGTTAATAAAAATCCAGTTTTTAATTTCTATTATAAAACAGTTATTCAATTGCCTCTACTTAAAATGCTTAGAAATATTATACACATATGATAATATAAGCTAAACCAAATAACTAAGTAGTTTTAGGAACCTTATCTTTCTAAATAAATTCACCAAACCAAGTTTAAATTTACAATCTTTTGGCGCCAATTTACACTGCTTGACGGGAACTGCTTTTGGAGCCATTAAAATAACATACAAATTTTTAACAGCTTGGCAAAATGTTACCGCCAGCTCTGTTGTAACATTTTTCGGCTGCCCTATTTGGTCACACTGAAATTTCTTGTAAACAAGAAGAAAATATTTATTTAGCTTAGAAAAAACACGAAATTTAGAATAGCTTCAACATGGTGAGTAAACATAGAAGTATACCAAATAAAACACCAGTTTATCCGCTTTTCGGTTTGCAATCTTCGAGTTTATTTAGACACTGATATTAATGAGAGGACTTCAACGTTGGCTGTTCATACATTTTTTAAGGGGAAAACGCTTCAAACCAGGCTTTAATAATCCGGCAAAATCGGTGGTTCCGGAGACCTTTTGCCGCCCCACGAATGGAACCGCTGCTTCTTACCCAAAACCACCGAGTTTCGCTTTTCGTCCCGCTGCAACTGCGATTTAATGCGGCACCTTTCGATAACTGCATCCCGAATAATGGAAGAGAACTCCACATCGCCGAATTGGGCCATCAGCAGTCGAAAGAAGGCCCAAATCTCGCCCCTTTGGGAAGTTGGCGGTGGTGCATAGTGGCGGAAGAGCCAGCCATCGGAGTCCGAATCCTGTCCACCGGGTCTCGAGTTGTACGCATCGCAAACGTCCTCGAAACTCAGGATTGCCTGGAGTATGAACTTTCGGTATTTGGAGAGCTGCAGCTCACAGGTTCCCAGCTCCGAATCCTGTCCAGAAATCGGCGACGGAATGCTGGCTCCATAGATCTCACGGCCAAAGGCCAGGAACACCATCCAGAGGACTAACTGCATTTTCGCCAGCGGTTCTAGCTGCCCTAATCCTCTCGGCCAACTGCGTTGCTTGCTGCCGCGTTACGCTGCTTATATAGCCACCCGATCCGTATAAAGCCCGCCGACCCGCCCACCCATCCACAAAACTTTGAAGTCCATAAAATAATTATAAAACGTTTGTCGTTCGCATTTTCTAAGCCGTTACACACGTCGCTAAATAAATACGAGTGCGTATTAATAAGCGTCTACCCCGCTTTTCCACGCTTTTCCCTCCAGACAATGGCAACAAGTGTCATAAATTTTCACTCGCTTAGCTCGCTTTTCCCTTCCGAACTTGTGTTTATTAATCCTGGCCAGAGATAAACGTGACGTGCACTTGAAACTGAGACGAGCTCCCCAAACGTTCTTCCTTATATGCTGGGTTTTCCCTTTAACCCATTTTCCCTTCCTCCCCCCCTGGAAAATGTCCCATCCCCACGCACTAACTCACCCTTTTTGTGCTCGCCACTTGTACAAATTGCTCGCTGATTAGCAGGCAAGCGTATGAAATTAATCATATGCAAATATCGTCGACTTTTCTTTTTCTTCACGCGACGTTGTTGCTGTCGTGGGAGTTTCTAGGATCCCGGTATCCCTAAAGGGTATCATTAGGTGTCAGGGAAGTCCTCCTCGAAATTGGGTCAAAACGGTGGGTACTTGACCTTTGAAAATATGTGTGTAATATGGGTCAGGCCAATGCGCTTAAACTTCAGTTTTAATATTTTGTTTTCCAATTATTTATTTACTTTTAATCTTATTGTAGTGATAAAATATTTCTTGAACCGCAAAGATAAAGCCAATAATTTAAATATGTAATTTAAAATTATAATGCTAAAAGCAATTATTTTATAAATCTTATGTTGAAACTCATACATTTTTTTTTACGTTTTAAAGGGTATAACACATTTCCACGACCTTTTTTCTTTTGCCTTTCCAAAGAGCTCTTCATTTGGCTGGAGTTCTCTTGTTGGAGCACTTCAGTCTTTAATTTACTTGAAAACGTGATGGGTTAACTTGACTGTGTGGGCGTGTGTAGTCCTACAGCCCAAAATAGATGAAGCAAACTAAAATTATTTCCTTAACTTACATTTTGTTTTGGCCCTTTTAGAAATTCCGCTTCTGTGGCGAAGGCGATTGTCCCGATTGGGTTTTAGCTGAGATCATATCCACGCTCTCCAACTTGAGCATTGAAAACTTGGAACAACTCAGCGATTTGGTGGCCCTTCGAATTTGTGGGCAGCCATTTGAGGTTTGTATGTGCTCGAATAAAATTTAAATTTGTGCAAATGTCTAATTTATAATATGTAATATTTATCATTAAACAAATGTTTTTTTTTGTAGGAATCCAAAATAAAATCGCTGACATCCACTTTAACCAATGAGGGCAAAACGGCTGTGGCCTGCATTCATTTTATGCTGATCAATGCGGCTCGCTACAGTTGTACCGAAAGTATTTTTGGAGAGGAGATCCAGCAGTTGGGACTGCCAAAGGACCATTCTGCGGCCATGTGCAGAGTACTCCAAAGTCACTCCGCTGCTATACGGCAAAACCTAATAGATAACGCTTTTAAAAGTGGGTGATAAATAAATACTAGCCAAGCTTTTAATTAAGTATTTTATAGAAGCTTATAACGTAAATGTATTAAATTTGTTTATTCCTCAGTTAACGAACTGCAAAGCATTCGTGACATATCCTCGCCTGAGCATACTCCTCCGAATTATACCACCTTGGAACTAAAAATCTCGCAAGAACTTGTTGATGGCCTGCCAAAGGATACTACTCATATTATCAACGTAGAACGTGCTCAGATGAAGTCTCTGCTGGCGGAGATGAAATTGGCGCGCGAGGTAATGCGAAAGTACGAAGACAAGACAGATTCCTAGAAATATATATAATATACATACAAATTTAAAAAACATATGTGGTTTTGAAGTCGTTTATTTGTTTGGGCTTTTTCGGATAATGACCCAAAACCAGCACTTGAAAGCCCATAACTTCTCTTAATAATGTCCGATTTTGGATTGGTATACCTCAAAATGCTTATAAATGAGTCCTCTAAGAACCTGCATTCTTAGTTTGGATTCGATTTTTGGGTCGATTTATTTTAAATTTTCAAGTTAAGGCATTTGATGACTTTCAGCATATATAAGTTTTGGCTGACCGAAGCTATAGCTTTCTTTATTGTTTTAATTAAACTAAATTTTCTGACTTTGTTGTTCAAATTGGTGCTCTTTCAAACAAGGAAAATTCAAGCTTTCACATAAAAAGCTGTGTTGTATCCTTGCGGGGGAACTTTAAGTGAGCTTGAAAAGGAAGCTCTGTTTGTTGAGTTTTCAGCAATAGATGGCGGCATATAAGGCGTTTTATTTAAAATTTGTTTTTTTAATCATAGTAATACAAAAAAACAACTGCCTAATAGGGCCGGAGAAACAGTTTTGAGTGGGGTGATGACCTCACAAATTTTCAATATGGCCCCCCGCCCCTTTTGTTTCAAAATCATTCCAAATCATGATGAGGGAAACACTGTTGACATAATATAGGTAAGTATAAATTTTAATAAAACAACAACACCAATCAATCAAAATGCAACAGGTAAAAAAAACTATTTTAAATGTAAAATGTTAATTAAAATCCATTTAATATTAATGTAATGTTAATTTAATGTTAAAATAATGTTAATTTAATATAATGTAAATGTAATGTTAACTAAATGTTAATTAAATTAATATGGCCACGTCAGCGACAATGATAATTAATTATTTTTTTCGTTTTCTCGCACCTATAATTCCCAAGTGGTTCTGGCTGATTCGTAGTGGGATACCCCTTGATTTTGGCCAATTTCTCAGTTCTCCGGGATGACCGGCAGTTTCTCTAAGAAACTTTTTCCGGTCTCTGGAAGTGTGTGTGTGTGCGTGTGTGTTAGTGACGTGGTTCCAGAGTGGGAGAGAGTATCTGGCCAACTCCTCCTACTGGAATCCACTCCCGGATGCAGTGCATCTTGGGTCGACTCCACCTACTGGAGTCCACTCCCGGATGCAGTGCACCATGGGTCGACTCCTCCTAGGATGCACTGCATCATGACCTGACTTGGCATGAACTTAAAGGTGCCCGATCCCTTCCTGCATGTAGTGGACTCCAGGATGCAGGGCATCCAAACCTGAAAAGGTGAGTTGCAGTTTTTTTAAATTATGTGATGACGTGGCTTTTGTAAAAAAAATGCAGTTAATTAATTCAATTTTTTTATATTTTTTTTTTCAGGTTTTTGGTTTGGCTGATTGCAGAAAATAATTGGTGACACCATCCAACTTGTAACTTGAAGTTCGACATCAGGATGCACTGCACCAAAGTTATTACGCAGTGAGTACATCCTTTAGACAATAAATAATTAAGTTATATATTTTAAAAAATCATAAATATTTTGACAAAGAAACAGATAAAGATCTGAAAGTTTTCAAGAACATGAAAGAAATTTGAAAGGTAAATTTTATCAAATATTGAACTTGAAGTACATGAAAATCAAACACAATTAATAATTGTAAACAAGTAGGGACATATAATATAAATATATATAGTATATATATAGTAATAGTTGTAAGAATGCGGTTACCGAAAATATAAAGTATGCTGACACCACATAAATGGACTGGACAACAGGCTGCAGGATCAATTATGAATGGCGTGATCTTCTATTGAACTCCACTCCAGGATGCAGTGCATCACCTCATTGGGGTATGTATTTTTTAAACAACCGATTTGTATAAAATAATTTAACTAATATTTTGGAATGCTTCTTTTCATTACAGGTGATGACTATACCTTTCTACTTGGAGTGTACTTCAAGATGCAGTGAATCAATAACCCAAAGAGGTAAATACCTTTTTTACTAGTACCTTTTTTACTAACAAATTTATTCTAACTATTATTATTTGTTACAAATTATTTATTATTATTTTTTTTCTTATTTAATTTCAGGGTAAAGTGTAAAGTGTACATGTTGCGGATAAAGTGGTTGCAGTGGTTATCTTATTGAACTCCACTCCAGGATGCAGTGCATCACCTCATTGGGGTATGTATTTTTTAAACAACCGATTTGTATAAAATAATTTAACTAATATTTTGGAATGCTTCTTTTCATTACAGGTGATGACTATACCTTTCTACTTGGAGTGTACTTCAAGATGCAGTGAATCAATAACCCAAAGAGGTAAATACCTTTTTTACTAGTACCTTTTTTACTAACAAATTTATTCTAACTATTATTATTTGTTACAAATTATTTATTATTATTTTTTTTTCTTATTTAATTTCAGGGTAAAGTGTAAAGTGTACATGTTGCGGATAAAGAGGTTGCAGTGGTTATCTTATTGAACTCCACTCCAGGATGCAGTGCATCACCTCATTGGGGTATGTATTTTTTAAACAACCGATTTGTATAAAATAATTTAACTATGTAGTAGTCTTTATTTTAATTTTTCAGTATTCTTTATTTTAATTCTTTACTTTTTAGCTTTTACACATGTGTTCTCTTCTTCGTCAATCTCAAAAGTCGGTATATCAAGGATGGTATCTTATCGATAACTTATTCAATCACAATCATATGGTAACTCTTAATAAGTACTACCCACCCGTTACATCTGGTAACTCTTAATACTACCAGCCTGCTACAACTCGGCCATCCTGATTTTGAGATAGCCCTCTATCTCCTGTTAACATTATCTCGTACATCAATAGATGAATTTGTTTTTCTTAACCAATGTCTAATATTTTGCGCACTCCACACGCCTTGGTAAGGATTTCGAGCTAACTGAAAGCCATCAATGTCTTTGATCAAATACCTATCGTTTTTTAATATCTTATCAATAACATAAGGACCTTTACTTTTTGGTAACAGTTTTCTTGCTACTCCTGCCGAGCTATCAAAATTTTTTACCATAATATAGTCTCCTGTCTTGCATTTATTTGGATCTTTTCTTTTGCTATTATAATATTCCTCATTTTTTGACTGTGCTAATACCTGATTTTGTTCTGCTTCCAACTCTATGAACTATTTCATAATCAAATTCTTGTAACTCCAACGCCCACCTTGCTATCCTTGGATTTAAATCAATTTTATTTAAAGTCAAAGCTAATGAGTTACAATCAGTAATAATTTTAAAACGCTTTCCCTGTAAATATATTCTGAATCTTCTTAAAGCATAGATTATCGCTAAAGTTTCTAACTCAAAGCTATGGTACTTTGCTTCTGTTTCTGATGTGCGCTTCGAAAAATAAAAAATAGGATGAAATTTTTCATCTGCCTTTTTCTGAAAAAGTACCGCTCCAAACCCCAAGGCACTGGCATCACAATGCAATTCAATGTCATCTCTATGATCATAAATTGACAAAACTGGCGCTTGTAACAATTTTTCTTTTAAACATAAAAAACAATTAAGCTCCTTTTCACCAAAATTAAATTTTCTATCCTTTCTAAGTAAATCATACAGAGGTTTTGCAATAATAGAAAAATCTTTAATAAACCTTCTAAAATAAGAACATAATCCTAGAAAACTCTGCACTGATTGAACTTTATCAGGCATAGGAAAATTCTTAATAGCTTCTAAACCCTTATCATCGGCTCGAATACAACCTTTAGATATATGAAAACCCAAATATTTAACACAATCCTGCATAAACTCACATTTATCTAACCTTAATTCTAGTTTATTTTCTGCCAATCGAATCAAAACTTTCTCTAAAATTGCAAAATGTTCATCTATATCTTTGCTTGCGACCATTATATCATCCATATAAACTATAACCTCATTTTCTCTAATCATGTCCGCAAATACAGTATTAACAAATCTTTGAAATACTTGAGGGGCAGTTTTAAGCCCCATCGGCATTTTTAAAAATTCGTATTGGCCCAATGGCGTCACAAACGAAGTGTATTTAACCGAGTCCTTATCCACAAATACGTGAAAGTACCCATTTTTTAAATCAAGTTTCGTAAATATATTTTTTCCTACAAGTTTATCTAACAAATCGTCTATTAAAGGCAACGGATAATTATCTCTAACCATAATTTTATTAAGCCGTCTAAAATCGACACACATTCTAAGATCCCCCGTTTTTTTCTTTACTAAAACAATTGCTGAGGCATATTCTGAACTACTGGGTTGTATAATACCCTCTTTTAGGTATTCATCTAACATAAGTTGTAGTTTTTCTTTTTCCGCATATGATAGTCTTCTAGGTGAACAACTAAATGGTTTTTCTTTTTCTAAAATAATTTTCATCTCGCCCCTAATATTGGGATTTGCTTGCTTCTTTGCATTTATATAAGTGCTTTCTAACATTTTTATAAATTTTGCTCTTAATGCATAATCCACTTGTGTCCCAATCTTATATTCTCTTTCAGAATCCACTACATTAATTTGCATCATGCTACTTTGAAAATTTTCTTCTAACACTCCTCTAACTAATTCCTTTGACTTTTCATCTAACAATTTACTAGCTACCAATCTATTATCTAACAATCTATTACCTAACAATTTACTCTCTAACAATTTACTCTCTAACAATTTCCTATCTAACAAACAATTTTCTGCTAACGATTTATCAACCAATTTGTTTTTTACCTTTTCACAATCCATATTCATTTCACTATTTTCTAACAATTGATCTGCTGCTTCCACTAACTCCACTTCATTTATTCCTTCCTGCTCCAAGTTTGGCCTTATGTTGTCTTTACCATCTAATAGGCTTTCAGTACGCTCATTACCATTCACATCAAGTTCACTTAAATATAATTTTATACCATAAAGTTCCATAAAATCTCTACCTAAAACAATATTCCATCTCATAGACTCGTTAGGCACCACTTTTAAATCAAAATTAATTTTATTACTGTTCTTGAAAATGTGACAAAATATTTTTCCGAACACATTTAATTGGCTTTCATTTAATCCAAAATATAACACTTCATGTGTGTGTAATTTAATATTTGTTGGAATACATTTTTGTTTAATAAACGAAACAGGGCTGCCCGAGTCTATGAGGCATTCTGAAATTATAGATTCGTTATTACTATTACTAAAATAAATTACTAATGACCTTACAAAATTGTTTACACCGCTGTCCTCCGTCTTCACCTTCCTCTTCGGGCACTGCGCCATTAAATGCCCTTCGTCACCACATCCGTAGCAAGATCCCGGCTTCCTCTTTGGCTTACTGCAATCTCGTGCCCAATGTCCCTTGGAGTTGCAATTGAAGCAACGAGAATTTTCTTTTATATCTCTGCCCTTCGCTGCTTCCGACTTCATCAGCAAACCACTCTGCCTAGGTAAGGCAACATCCGCAAATGCTCGCCGCATCTTCGCCGGATTATCAAAGCACTGTAGTTTTGCCTGGATGCGTAGATTTTCATGTGGTATTCCCTCGATAATGCCATCTAATAACTCATCGTCGTCCATATCCAAATCTCGAGCCAACATGCACTTGTCCTCAAAGTATACGCTGAAATTTTCGTCCGATATCCACATTCGTCCAGCAAATTTCCGACGTAGCTCAATTTTCGGAAGTTTTCCACCAAACGCCTCCTTCAGTTGATCCAAAACTTGGTTTATAGGCTTCACCACACGTACCGGATCTGCATGCAGCCACTGCAACGCTTTTCCTTTAAGCTTTGCAATACATAATAATTGTCGCTGCATGTCGTTCAACTTGTGCAATTGTGTAATATTGTCAAACTGAGCAATCCAATTTCGCACTGGTGTATTTCCATCGTACTCCATTAAAATCTCTTTGGCCAATGAAAACGCCATGGATGCCCAGTCACCGAAATTTTTTTCAGCTGCCACATTTCGCTGAATTTCACAACTTGCATTTCCTTGAGCATCATCTTCTACGTCTTGGCATGATGTATCGTCGTCTCCCTCTAACTCTTGGTTTCGTCCATGCATGCGTAATTGTTCCAGAACATTCTTAGCGGCCTCGATTTCTTTGTACAAATTTGCCAACGCTTCTGTTCCTTTAAACATTTCAGCTTGTTGCGATTGAATTACGCGTCTTGTCTCCGCCACCAGATGATCATCCTCCAAATTGTCCACTCTTGGTGCATTTCCACGTTCTGCTGCTGGTACAGCATTAAGACGCACCAGCAACTCAGCTTTTGTGCCTTTTGTGGACAAACCCAATTCGCCAAGCCATTTTTTTAATACCGCCATTGCATAATTATCACCAACTATATCCATTTTTTCTGTTCTTGATCCCACTTCTGAATTTGTAGTAGTCTTTATTTTAATTTTTCAGTATTCTTTATTTTAATTCTTTACTTTTTAGCTTTTACACATGTGTTCTCTTCTTCGTCATTCTCATAATTCGGTATATCAAGGATGGTATCTTATCGATAACTTATTCAATCACAATCATATGGTAACTCTTAATAAGTACTACCCACCCGTTACATCTGGTAACTCTTAATACTACCAGCCTGCTACAACTAATATTTTGGAATGCTTCTTTTCATTACAGTGATGACTATTCCGTTCTGCTTGGAGTGAACTTCAAGATGCAGTGAATAAAAAACCCAAAGAGGTAAATACCTTTTTTACTAACAAAATAATTCTAACTATTATTATTTGTAACAAATTATTTATTATTATTTTTTTTTCTTATTTAATTTCAGGGTAAAGTGTTAAGTGTTAATGTTGCGAATAAAGTGGTTGCGGTGATTATCTTACTTCAAGAAGACGAAAGATTGCAGTGCAGATCAAGGAGCTAACTGAGTAAGTACCAATCTGAAAAGATTTATTTATGATAATCTCATAATTATTTAAGTAGTTTTTACATTAAGTTGGAAAATGCTTAACTTGGGAAGTATTTGGGAGAGTTACTATCTATCTATTTAAATAGAAACTGATTTAATTGGGCCGTGGTAAAGGCGGGATTTCTCTTCGTTTTTCTTCGATATACTCTATATGCAGGGCCGGAGAAACAGTTTTGAATCATACATTCAACTGATAATAATGGATGTAAATAAATTTTTTTCTACAAGTCAAGCATTTTGGGGTGTTGAATTCCACACCCGCTAAGATTTGGCGTGTGGAGTGCTCAACACCCGGTATACACCTTCCGCCGGCCCTGCCTGCATCCTTAGGTTGGATTCGATTTTTGGGTCGGTTTATTTCAAATTTTCAAGTTAAGGCCTATATGTATTATGTTCGAGATATTCGATGACTGTCAGGATATATAAATTTTGGGTCACCGAAGCTAGCTTTCTTTCTTGTTTTAATTAAACTAAATTTTCTGACCTTGTTCTTCAAATAGGTGCTCTTTCAAACAAGGACAATTCAAGCTTTGATATAAAAAGCTGTGTTGTATCCTTGCGGGCGAACTTTAAATGAGCTTGAAAATAAAGCTTTGTTTGTTGAGTTTTCAGCAATAGATGGCGGCATATAAGGCGTTTTATTTAAACTTAGTTTCTTTTTTATTAATAATGATAAAAAACTGAACAATTGCCTCTAAACTATATATAAACTATATATTGAAAAGTCCTAATAAAGATTACAATTTTGTAAGTAATATTAAGTCGCATTTTAAGTATTAAAAAATTGAGAAATAAAGTACATACTTAACTTTTATTGTAATCCGCTTATTTATGGTAGGAAAACCGCCTTGGATACATTTTTATTTAAATTGCTTGGCTCTTGGCATTTTTCTGCAACAATGTAGCTTTTCGTAACCCCCAACAAGTTGGGATTTCCCACCCATAAATGTCATCAAAAGGCAACCGCAGAGTTAACCCTTTTCAGCCAATATTTAACCCAAAGCGGAAGCGCACTCACATCATTGCAAATGCTCCATGAACTGTGTCAAATTTAATCAACTTCCCTGCAGTGTTTTTAGTGCCCTTGCAGCCTGACTATTAATTATAGCATAACGTGCGGCGCAAATAAAGTGAAATTTGTTAATAAAAGGCCCGGAAATGAACCCTTTTCGTGGAATCGGGGTTCACCTTGCTCGTGCTTTCCACATTTGCTTATCATCCGCTTTGGCTACGGCAATTACCGTCGCATCCTTTGGCCATTTTCCTACTTCCGGTTATTAAAATTATCTGCAGTGGCCAAAGGGAGGTGGAAAAAACGAAGAAAATTTCAATTAAAAGTATACAAAAAATAGGAATAAATTAATTTCTTTTGCTTGCTCTGTCTTTCCTTGCTGGATTTTCTAATTATGAGCTTTGGCTGCAGCAGCTGCGAAGGTTAAAAGTTGCCTTCTTTTTTATAGCAAATTTTGTTGTATTATTTTTTCAATTAAACTTGACCATGTCAAAAGTGAAAAAAGAACCAGAGAAATACGCGACATTTTTGATTGCTGCTTTTATTTTTATATTTTTTTTTTGGGTATTTTCGTTATTTTTTCATTTTGTTTTTCTGGATTTTTCTGCTTTTGGCCACATGTTGCTGACACTTGCAGCAGTCACTGGGATCCTACCTCCCTTGTCGAATTTTCTTTCCTCTCGAAACTTTGATTTATGATGCCCAGTAAAAGAAATTCTGCTCCCGCCCCTTTTGGCATTGTCACCTGTTCTTTAATTAAATTTCTTCTCAAGGTCTCAATGAACTGCTGCATTGATTTGTGCCCCTCTATTCAGCATTGGGCAAATATCATATCCGTTGGTAAATAAATGCCTCACGTAGCTCTGCTCCAATTACCCCGGCAACTATTTACTCAGCATTTAGTTGGCGGTGTCCCATTCTCATTTCCGTCCTCGGTTCGCGCAAAATGATATCTAAACATTCGTCGGTGTGGGCGTTTGGTGCAAAATTCGTGTAAACAAGGCGGCAATGTCAACAGAAATGGTTCACATGATATGGTAAGGAGGTGAGGTAATAGAGGGGTGGACGGGCTGGCAGAAACTTGTCTATCAAAAGAGTGGGGAGATGCCAAAAATGGGTGGGAAGAGGAGTTTCTTACTTACAAAAAGTATTATTTAAATATTATACAAATGGTTTAAGGGGTTATATACCTTTTTGACCAGAGAAATACAGGGTTTTTATTTATTTTTTTTTAGCATGTTGCCATTGTTTTATTTAAATTCAATATATATTTTATCAAAGTACGTGTCCTTAACTTAATTCGTCTGCAATTTTGAGTGAAAATTTTGAGAATTGTGGAAGTTATAGTCCTTGCCGCAGAAGTCCTTTTTTCATTAGAGGCTTGCGGTGAGCAAGAAAACAAGAAAACGGCTCAACGAAAAAAAAAAAAAAAAAAAACTACGTTAGTATATAGTGTTACCTAGTTCGTGAACGAAGGATTTTACGAAAAAAATTTTTTTACAGTTACAGTGATTATTTTTTTCAAAAAAACCGATTTTTCGAGGTCTAATAATTTAGTTTTTCGCCCCAAAAAAATAGAAAAATTTATCGAAAATAAAATTCCTTCGTTCACGAACTAGCTATTGTATCTACAAACAATTCCCCAAAATTTCAAATCGATCGATGTAGTGGTTACCGAGATATCGTGCTCACCGCAACGACCTTTTCTCAAAAATGCGATTCCGAGATAATCGCGGTTAAAGTTTTAGGTGGACATTAGGTAGTCATGCACACCGTGCGCTATGAACGGCTGTATCTTAGGTTCTAGTGCCCCGATCTCTAAAAAATTTTGCAGAAAAATTGTTGAAAGTATGTACATCAAAAAAAAATCATAAAATTTTTTTCGATTTTTTGATTATGAAAAAGGTATATAACCCCTTAAGTTAGATTTTGTGGTAATGTAAAATGAAATATAAATATTATTATATCAAATAATATTTTTATTCCAGCTCTTCAATTTTGAATACTTCAAAAAAATGTGAAACAAGTGATTTATAAAACGACCCTCGCTAGTGGCAACCTGGGATACCGCAACCCACAAGCGATTCCGTCTGGCAACGCCCAAACATGTGTAGCGTTATGTCAGCCCCACCCACCGCACATCCGGAACCCACCTCCCCAACCATCCTAACCATCCCAAACATCCCAAGCATCCTGCAAAAGGCTGTCACATTACGCGCCTGTTACCATATCTTTACAACTGTATCTGCAGATCGTCCTCCACGCACTTGTATGACAAAGCACAAAACTTAAAAACCTTATGCATGTGATTTGAGGGGTGACTTTGTTTTGGGCGGAGGACACACAAGTGTTAGCCTTTTGTCTACGCTATTTGGTGGTGGAGGCCGGAAATCCTTCTTGTTGCTCGGTTGCTGCTTCCGTTCCGGTTTTTAGTTCGCCGATGATGCGATGTCGCACCCCTGCGATGATTTTTGGGGTGGTGGTGGCCACCACTACTTGCCACCCCCTGGGTGTCCTTCGTTTGGGAAAACAACTTTTTGACTTTTTCAATTTGACTCTCTGCTTTTGGGTCTTCCTTGCCCGGTTACCCTAGGCGTAATAATGAAATAAACGTTTCGCTAAATGCCTACGTATTTTGCACTGAAGGAAAGTGGGTTTATGTTGGTGGTGGGAGTTTAGCTCATTCAATTAATTCGATGGGATTTTGGTTTAAGAGCTTATTGTGTGGAAGAATGAAACAAGGGGGGCTTCCTCCGGGGTGACCACAAATGACTTCTAGGAATTTGAAATATCTGTTCTTTGAACTCTACATATTTTATATAGCGACTCTTAAATTAATCTAATATGATACTATTATTTATTCCAAATTTTATTTCTTTTTTTTTTATTAATTCAAAAGTTTTCACCAACTTTTAAATAAAATCCCTTATTAATCGTAGCCTTCTTTTGCGCACCCAATTGAGTATTCATATGAACTGAAGATTTCTTCCTCCACACCTCCCAAACTGTTCGCACCTGAGAACATGGACAAGTGGGTGGTGAAATCCAGAGCTCCGTGAACCCAAAGCTGGTGGAGATTGACTGCTCCACATTAATCAACGCATAAATTTAACGCATTATTATTTATGTTCCCTCCAGTCGCGAACACCCCGCGCTTGTTTCATTTTCGAAATAGAAATTGTTTTACAAATGTCACGCGTACAGAAAGCAGCACCATCCATCCCCTTCCATTAACGAAAACCTCTGCAATCGTGAACAAAATAAATGGCGCTAAAATGATTCAATTACCCAAAAACGGAAAAAGAGCAAAGAAAAACATTTTTTTTTAGGGGAACAGGTGGCCAGAGCCAGGCGACAAATTCTTGGCTAAAATTTTTAGACGTGTTTATTGGCGGGCTGCAGTGGGAAAGTGAGGGGGAGGCGGGCGGAACACACCTGTGAAAATGTAATAAGCGAAAATAAGATTTTAATTGCCAACGTTTATGGGTCGCGCTGAATCCCATTTTAATGTCCCAACTCTCAGGAATTTTTTAGCACTTCAAAATTTATGTTTGTGAAATCTTACTTTTTGCTTGAATACTTAAAAAGCCAACTATTAAATGTATTTTTTTTAGTAAGATCTCAAATTTACTCATTTAAGTAATTCTAAATAGCAAACATTTTGCAAATAAAATTTCTTCAGGTACCAACATTTTGCTTTTTCAAGAAAGACCAACGTTGGTCACATTTGGTGACCTGGGAAGTTGCTGAATTATCGCAAACTGATGTTCTAATTGGCGTGGGGTTTCATTAGTTGCTTCTATTTGATTTCCTCCCAGTTTCAGTGAGAGCTTCGATTTGCAGCAACGATTCCTTGTTTGTCCTGTCGACTTTGTGCTGGTGCGTATCCTTGGTATCTGTGTGCTTTCGCTTTGGTTGCATCCACTGGCAGGCGAAGCTAATGCGCAATTCCCACTTACCCATCCCAGTTCAATTCACGCTTCGTTAGACCCAAGGGAAAGATATAATGGGGTTATCCACTGCCTTCTCATCCTTCGACTTCTTCGTCCTTACTTTTTTGGTCGGTTTACTGCACTTAATTTAATGTTGTGCTGTTGTCAACGCAAGTAAATCAAAGTTGCGACTTTTATTTATGATTTCATTTATGCGCTTTACCATTAACTAAAGTGGTCTTCCTTTTTGGGGATGGGGAAATATATAATAACCCTTTTGCCAGACACATAAAATTATCAATTTAAACAATATGCCCTTATTTTAAAATTTGTTGTATCATTTGGAATAATGGTGAGCCTTGCGATTTTTTTTAGGAAAAAATAAAGCCAGATACCTTTTCTTATTTATTGAATGTATTTATTTGAATTCTTAAATTTATTGTATAATTTTGTTTAATACAAATATTTATATGTACTTCAGAAATTTTAAAATGAATGAAACGAGCAGCTGTTAAAAATATTTAATAGTCAAATTTTCATTGTCAAAATTGTCCAGCATTCAAAAAACCCGTAGAAGCTTTCTATTTTCGTTCGTGTGTCTAATGTAAGTTATAATCTCGTCATCCTGCCAGAAATGGGCCGATCAGCCAGCATTAAATCCATCTAGGCCTGTGCAATCAGCTGTGGTCCTGTGAACAGAAAATATAAAGTTTCTTTGGGGCGATACCATATTCTTTGTGAAAGAACGATCCCACATACGATTCCTCAACGTTTCTTTGGACCATGTGCATGAAAGCTCAGCGTTCCTGTTGCAAGCCGAGATCCTGTTGCAACCAGGGATCCTGCTGCGGACCATGTGGCCCCTGCTCCGCTTGCTCGTGTGGCTGTGCCACCTGCTGTACCTTCTGCTCTGGGATATTCCCCGAAACATGCTGCGGCCCGTGGTGTGAGTCCTGTCTGGATCCTTCCTGGTTCTCCTGGCTGGCCCCCAATACCCACCGAGCCTGCTGCTGTGCCTGTCGGCCAAAGTGCTGCTGAAAAACTTCATTTTGTGGACCTGGGAAGTCCGTAATGTGTATATAAAAATAAAAACACATCTAAATAACTTCAACTTTATAAGTATTATATTTTAGCAATTAAATTAAGTCAAAATAGTTTTAATATTCAAAATTTTTAATTATTTACACTAGATATTTAAATGAACATATTTATTAGCAATATCAATTACACATGTTCCATAATAAGAGTTCCAATATTATAGCTATATTAACATGCAATTAACAAACCTCACAATAATTTCACCAAGCCTATTCAAAGTAAACGTTTAGCCTTCAATTTCAAAATGGAATAATAAACGTGTGCATTTGCCAACCCAATAAACCCCAGACGTAATTCATCTTTGACTTCCAAAATATACCCCTAATTGAATAAGAAATAAGAGAAAATGAAATTTTAATACTGCAATCGGGTCGCCATATTGTAAAACTATAAAAAAGTACATCAGTGTAATTTGTGCAAATCGCGATTCGTAAAAATTGCGCAAAAATTTTCCCTGCTTCGTGGAAAGAACCGCAACAAATTGGGCCAAAAGGGCGAATTAGCCAGAGCGGCATAAAAGAAAACCGCATAAGGACGCACTTGCAGGGGATCAGGGCTAATAAAAAATTATAGATTTTCATCTTTGCATATTTAACTTTTATCGCGTGGCACTTTTACGTCGCCCATGTGTTTTAGGCCCAATTCAGGTTGGCATTTCGAGGTTGCCTTCTGTTGCGGATTTCTTTTGCGGTTTTTATGTTGCCGCAACCTGAACGGGGCATAAACCAAATGTCATACTTAGGAATCAGGACCGAATCATGTGTGTTGCCCCAGCCTCTTCCATCCCCGGCTATAAAGATGTTTCGCATTTTTGCATAATCGTCAATTTTTGATTTTTAAAATTCGCCAGGAGCGGAAAGTTAGGGGAGGGAAATGTTCTTTGGTCAACAATAAAAATTCATTTTTATAATCTTTACATGTGTTACACCATCAATAGCCTAGGTATAAATATTTATTACTATTTTACGATTGATTTAAGTTTGGGGTTTGCTTACCTTTCTTGGGATTACTGTCTTATTGACAAATAATGTCATTGGGTTAGTCCCTAAGGACTCCAAAGTCTGATTCATTTTTAAAGATCTGGAGGTAAAAAGGTTAATGTTTCAATTGAATGGATTTTACTGAACTTTATTTAATTTTTTTAAATCTTTGCTTTTTAAAAGTAATGAATTGAAGATGTCACTTATAAATTTTTGGGCTGCGGCTTGCAGAAGTACTCTTAAAAATTAATTAACAACACAAATCCATTATTATCCCCTCTCATATAGTAGCCATTATCACTATCTATTTCATTCATTTATTATCCTTTTCAGTAACATTTCATAATAAATGACTAGCAGTCATGTCATTGCCTATTACCTAATACGTAAATTATCATAAACAAATTAAAAAAGTTCGTGTTGTGTCATTCGAGGACGGGAAGAAGACCAGTTTAACCCCAAAAGACGGCGCTGGAGTTAAAAGGTTCGCTCGAAAGTAATAAGTAAAGCCTCGTGGGTGGTCCACAATCCAGAACCCGGAGTCCTGAACCCAGAATACGGCCCATCGGAGATGATGATGATGACTCAAGGGCCGAGCAGGAGCACCAAACGGTTATCCAATTGGAACCGGATCCGTGGCAGGTTGAGTGGTTAAGCGTTGAAACGGAAGCGGCAACACCCACTGGGCCGAAAGCCACCCACGGGGACTGGGATTTTAAATATAATTTGTTTGCCCACCAGCGCCGGCGAACACCTCTCGCCCGCCAAAAGGGGTTGGTGCCTCAAGTGAATCTCAGCAGGACTCCCAGGGGTGGCTTTTCCCTGCGTCCTCAGAGGGGATCGTGCGAAAACAATCAGTCAAAATTGTTGCCAACTTGACTTACTGAAGGTCTCGTATAATTTTCATAATTTGATTACATTACGAAATAAAAACAAAGTGAATTGCTGGTGGTTGCTCAACGAAGTTGGAATACTCTAAATAATAAAAATAATTTAAAAATACATAAGGATAAGTATGAATTTAATAAGAACAAATTTTAAAAAGAAAAGCTAAAACTAATTTAATAATAGTACATTTTTATTCAATTCCATGTAGTACTGAAGTGTAGCAAAAAAGTATAAAAGTGGTTTAAAAGCTTTTTTATGCTTAGTTTTTAATTTGTTAAAAAAATTTATTCTCTAGCAAGTATATATTCCTATTTCGGAGGAAAGGTATTCCCAGTTAGCCATCGCTTGGAGAGCATTTTGGCCTGCGGCCTGTGGGCGAATTGGCGACACGTGACCGGATCACGTGTCCACACCAACGAGGCGGCGTGTCAACTCTCGTGTAATCACGGCAAACATGTGGCCTTGGGACTGTCCGCCGACATCGGATATCCGACCGATATCTGATATGATGCCCAATGAAATTGCCATTAAGCGTTTAATAGTTGCCCTGTTGGCAAGTTGGGGGTGGGACGTTCGGTGGGAGGTAGACGCTGGGAGGTGGGCGGAGTTCGAGGGGCGTTGTTTTTGCGGTCTGCCGCGTGCCGTCGCCTCATCATTCATTGGGATATGGTCGGATAAGGTTGCTGCCTTTTTAATGCTCATGTAAATTATGCGCCAAAAAATTACAAAATCTAAGCGACGAGATAACAATTTTAAAGAATTTACAATCGTGGGATTTGTTGTGACTGCCAGCAGGCGAAGGCCATTAGGGAAACTTTTTAGGGAAAGAGGGTTGAACCGTTTTCAGTGGGATATGATTTTCCTCGAAAGGTATTAACTAAACACGTGTTGAGATTTTTTTATTGTTAGCATGTAGCAGACATGTTGGAGGCTTTTAAGGCTTTATTTTAAAGTCATCAATGCTGGGGATTATTGACTGAGAATAAAACAAGAAAGGAAGCTAGCATTCTAAATTTTTCAAATAAGGACGCCTTTTCAAATTTATAAAACATTGACTTGCTGAAAATTGACCAAATTTCAAAAGTCCATAATTTTTTAGTTTTAATTACATTTTGAAGTGGTATACCTATAGTACATTTTTTTTTTTTTTTTGGCTGATATTTTTCAATTTTAATGATGGTTCTTTCAAATCGAAATGTTACACATTTACTTGTTGAAATCGTTCGGCCAAGCTCAACATATTCAACCAAATTAATGAAATTTCATTAAATTCGGATGATTATATATTGCTGATATAAAAAAATCTGTGAAATTATGGAAAAGTAAATAGAAAAATCGCAATTTGTTCAATGTTGCTTAGCCCTTATGCAGGATAACCCCCTAATAGAAGGAACTTTGCCGAAATGGTGCCATCTCGCGACTGCAATCAATCTCAGTCTCACTTCTCCGCTGCAATATTGCGAAGATTAATTAATTTGTATTAACATACACGCACCCACACCCATCCACCCACGACCATAGGGAGCAATAACTGATGTCGGACTATAATTAATCAAATGAATTACATGAGACCCTCACGGAGCAATAATCATATGCGCAGCAACAACATGGAAATCAAATCAGAGGCCAGGAAATGCGTTTGCATGTCAATTACAGCTGGCGCCGTACTGCCTCCCCTGAAAATTTCCCGTAACCCCCGTCCATCCAACAACATTCAGCTAATATTCAAAGTCAATCGGGCAGGCTCATGAAGTTGATGAGCAAACGAGCGAATCGGAGGGGGATTTCCCCAATTATTCATGCCCGACGATTGTATGCAAATCGAATTGCCAAACTCATAATTGGAGGGGGCAAGGGCCAGAGTTCTGCCAATTTCATGCTAAACATGTTGCCATTTGCTTTTAATAGTTGATAAGCCAACACAAAGAAATTGATTTTGAAACGAACTGAATTTTGAATGGATTTAAAGATATATTTTATATCTTTTTTTGTGGAAGTTAAGCTTATCACTTTGTTGTTGGCAAAAAAAGTAGGAACATATGAGGTATGGGACATTATAGATTTTATAAAAATTAAAGCATTAATACTGGTTTAAAAAAATAATGAAATATAATATACTTTATAAGTAGTATTCATTTTCGTGTTTCTAAATGTAGGTACTAAAAACCTTAAATTTCCTTTAAATAGTTGCCAAGAAATTTCCAACGAATTCAATTAAGAGTGGGTTCAATGATATTCCTCCCCGTTCCCATTTTTTGTTGTAAAATTTTTCTAAGCCATTGGGTGGGAGATTTATGCACACGCAGCTGTGTGTTGTAATTTTTAGCATTCAGATTCATTTCTAGTTTCATTTTTTTCTGGTTGCCCCGCTCGCGATTTATTGGTCGCGATTTTTTTCTATCTTTGCCAGTGGACGAGAGTTCGCATTGAAAACGAATCACGTGAAATCTAAATAGCATCATAAATCAGAAAATGGCGGCAGGTTGAATTCGACTCGCCTCGAGTCAGTTTTTGGTATTCCCGAATTTTGGTTTTCCTTTTGTTATTCTTTTTTTTTTTTTGTAGGGGGAATTTCTTTCTAGCTGGCCAGACAATGATATATGTTGGCCCGAAATGGCGAAACGCGCGCAAAAGCGCCACTCGCATGTGTATGAAAATTGCCAAAAGCCGAGCCACAAAAAAAGGGATCCCGATAGACGGCGTTTGATTGCATTCCCTGAACCACTCAACTCCGCACCACTTCACCCACTCTGCCCGTAGCCAGCGAAGTAACCATCGTGGGTCATTTGCCCAGCCTGCGGCCCGTTGGCTTGGAAAATGTAAATTTTCCCGGGCTAGCTAGACCATAAATAAATGTTTGGGGCAAGTGGATTGGTTGGATTTCCAGCGGATAGTTTTGTCCTTGGAGACCGTTGGGGCCATACCTTATACGCCTCCTTTTGTTTATTTATTGACGCCGCTCCGCTTGCCAAATTCCTATATAACTTATGAGAACCGCGGTCTTCCCCATGTGAGTGACCTTTTTTTTCCAAGAAATTGATTTATGACATTTGCGCTGATTGCCAAGGAAAATCGAGATCGCGGAGTGTGTCATAAAATTGGGAAGACATTAAATACTATATATTTAATTTGAAAAGTTTTAGAAGGAGTTAAATCAGTTTTCGTTACTGATTTGGTAAGTTTAAAAAGGAATTATG